GCGCTACAACAGTTGTTCTCAGTCTTTTCTTCTTTGAAAAAAAAAAAAAATGTATATGGGTGTTTTGCCTGCTTGTATGTCTGAGCACCACATGCATGCCTGATGCTTTTGGAGGCCAGAAGAGGGCACCCGGTCCCCTGGAACTGAAGTTACAGATGGTTGTGAGCCACCATGTGATTGCTGGGAATTGAACTCAGGTCCTCAGGAAGAGCAGCCAGTGCTCTTAACCACTGAGCCATCTCTCCAGCCTCAAACCTTGTTTTCTTATTACAATATGATACGCTGCTTATGAGACCCAGAGTAAAGATTTTCTTTCCTTAATAGTTTTCCTGGTTGGGAAGGAAAAATCACTAAAATTAGCTCTCAAAACTATCCCAAAGCCCAAAAGTAGAATTTTGAAACAAAAATATTCAAAAAAAGAAACAAGGAAGAAGTTATATCCAACTTCAGTTCTGTGTGGTCCATCTCACCAACTGCTGCAGACTGCCATTAATGAAAGTAACCCAGCACATACAGAGTTAACCAGTACATCCAGAGTGCTGCTCTGAAGCCGAGGAGCACATACTTTGGTAAAACTACTCAATGTTCTAACTAAGAAGAGTTTAAGACATAAATAATTTAACTAAGCATGTCGCAAAAATAGGGTTGAAGTTGGAAGTCATGCTAAATCTTATAATTACTTCCAGAAAACACAGGTTAGCTCTCTTGAAGGAACAAGCCCAAGCCTAATTATCCATAATGAGCTGCCTGGCGGTGTTCAGAATAGGCCCTCTGCTACACTGATTTGGTTCTGACGCACACCGACATTCCCTTGATGACCTCCCTGTACCTTTTTATATGCACAGCAATGAAATGATAATGATTGATGACACTAGCCGAATGAAATGGGTTTGTAGTCAGGGCTGTGGTACTACCTGCTACACAGGCGAGAACACTAATTTCCTAACAGTCTCCGTTGACTTGCTCCTGAAAGCTGGAGGTAGGCTGTGCTAAACTTACCAACGAGAAACACACCAGTCATGCTGCTGTCAATCACCGAGCACGTGGCCCACCGAGAGTCTTGCTAGATGCTGCCTGTATTCCAAGATTCCTGCCTGCCCATAACCAGTGACTTTACAGAAAGGTCCATTATGAAGTCTCCTGTTAGTTTGGCATCAAGTTTATGTTAAATTACAATCCTACTCAGTTTTTATACTAACTACCCTTTACATCCATGTTACGTGCAAAGTGAACAAAAAACATTTGGAGTAAAGAGACTCCATGTCACAAAGTGCACTAAGATTAGTGGTTAATAATAATCAGCTGGACACTTACAGAATCTCAAGACACTATCAGATCCAAGATCACACTAGCCCAACAGCTCTAGGAAGCCACTACCTCCTAGTTATGAAGCTCACGTTATATACAACATACATGAAAGACTGTCTCAAATTTTAATTAATTTATCCAAAACTCAATAGAAACAGATTGTCCCATCATTTAAAGGATAACTGAGGGGAGTTTAATTGACTGTAGATTATAAGGTACACTACAATCCCAATATTTCATGTTTTTAAATTGTCACAAGTTGCTAATTGCTACTTGTGGCAGTTTGAGAATAAGCTCATGCATTTGAACACTTGGTCCCCAGATGGTGGTACTGTTTGGGAGGTGTGTCTCTGCTAAAGGAATATGGCATGAGGTGTGAATGGGTGGGGCGGAAGTGGGGTGGGGTGAGGGTGAGGGTGAGGGTGTCTGCTTTGAGACCTTAAGGCCTCTCCCTATTTGTAGGTTGCTCTCTGTGCTTATGGTAATGGATGTGCATTCTCAGCCACCACCCTAGGATGGACTCTTATCTCTGGAACCAAAAACACCCAAATAAACCCTTCCTTCTGTAAGGTGCCTTGCCCATGGTGTTTCTTCACAGCAAGAGAAAGAAAAGTGATACACTACATTGGGTAATGCAGCTCAGCTCTAACAAGGAACCAGCACAACTCCTAGGTCTGAAGAGGCTAAAGAAAAGGAACAGTTCCTAAAACCTGAAGCAAAGCAGTATTAGTGCTCTACCTAATTAGTTACTGCACAGGTAACATGACAGAAGCTATGGCTGTGACAGAAAGCACCATGCCAACCTGCAGACAGGCAGAGGAAGAGCCACAACTACTGTGGCTCACTTCCTGCTTCCCTCCTGATAGGAAGTACTTCTGACCTGGGGAACCCTAGAAAAGAGCTGACTGATGCTGCCTATAAAGCTAAGCTGTGTGGCTCACAACAGTGATGGCTGACAGTGAGAGGTAGAGTAAGATCTGGAACAAACATCATTATACCAGTTACAAATTAATTAAGGTATGAAATGTCTGGTTTATTAACACAAAACATTAGCAAAAAAGTGATCAAAAGCACAATTTTCAAGTTGTACTTTTTCTCATTGTTAAAGCCAGCCCTGTGTTCAAACTAAAAGCATAGGTCTTCAAACTGCAGTGTTCATTTCAGATATTACACACAAAGAAACAGGTCAAAACTGTGTTCCTGATCTATATTCAACCTTGTATTCTTACTAAAGATCTGTGTGAAACTTTTTCCAAAATATAATCTAGGTCGCAGACCCAGTTTGGGAAATTTTTTACTTAGGCTAACGGTTGCTGTGCCTCTCAATAAATGGCTAAGATTTGAAAATTGCTAGAAACCCAATAAAATGGACACATGATGCTGAGGTCTCTAGGATGTATGGACACTCCTTTAACTGTTTTATTTTCCTACCATCTCATTGTTGGCATTGATTTTAATGAGTTTTCAAGTTCTACACTCAATAATGTGGTCAGAGGTATATGTTGGGGGTGGCAATGTCTACAACCGAATCCATTCTTAGGTCCTGAATATGTCAAGAGTCCGGTCTTTATTGCCCTGTACTTAAGGAAGACAGATCTAACGCCACTGTGTGGGGGTTGAAGTAAGTCCCGAAGGAAAAGCAGTTCCCGCCACCTCCAGTGAGCAGGATCTGCGGCTCTTCAGGAAGGAGGACGCTGCTGTGGTTGTGCGACATTAGTGGCCATGGCACAGATGTTGTGTCAAGCTGATACTCAGAGCTCAACCCCGTAGTCAGATTGATAACAGTCACTCCAGGAACTGAGGAGGAATGAATCCAGACGCCTCCAACCAGAAGTAGCTTTCCATTAAATACATGAGCGGTGTGAGAGTACCTTGGGGTAATGGGGGGCTGGATATCGATGGATTCCCAGAGGAATCCAGAGGACTTTGGTCTGAGAAAGAGTACCGAGCTCAATGGTTCCTCAGAAGCCCCTAGACCTCCGGCGATGAGTGCTCCTCCTTGCCAACTGCAGGCACTGTGGGAATGCCGACCTTCTGGGGCTGCCCCTTCTACTGGGATTCTGACCCAAGCCATTGTCTCTGCGTGTAGGAAGCGACAGTCACTTAGTACAGGTCCCACCGCACTCCGGCCCCCATACACAAACAAGTATCTTTGATTCTGATGGTATACTTCCGTTGTTGAATGCCGCCAACAGGACATCATGGGACCTTCTTCCAAGGCAGCCTTGGTTACTGTTACATGCTGACTCTCGGGGCAATTATCCTCACCTCTGTGTAAATCAAGTTGGAGAGCCCCAGAAGCTGGACTTAATGGGGACAATCTTCCTCCAAGAACCAGAACCCGAGTATCTGAAAGCCTTGTCATGGTGTGATAAAGGCGTCCATCCCACTGGCCTTCAGTCCCCAAAGTACTTATTTGGCTGCCTTTCCATTCCGAGTCGCAGGTTCTCGAGAGCAAGTGAAACGTGCTCACTCGGCAGTGTCGCCCCTCTTGTTCTCCAAAGCCTCCTGCACTGAAAATGACGCCAGGACTCAAGAGCACAGAGGTGTGGCCATATCTCTTCAGGCTTGAGTGCTGGTGGTCACTAGTGACTACTCTGGCAGGAAAAAAACCCGAAGGCGAAGCAGGATCGATCCGAAAAGGTGTCTCTGAGGACGGAAACACCAGAGTTTCCGACAGCGTGTCTCCCCTAGATGCTGCTAGGATGAAATAGTGGGCACACTTCAGATGCCACTCCTCAAACTCATCAAAGGGCTCGAGCGTCTCCACTCGCCGACGCTCGTCCGCGGGGAGATGGCGGCGATAGAACTCGTTCAGGTCCAGGGCGCTGCAGGCAGTCCAGCCAGCTCCAAGGAAGCGCCGCACCTGGGCCTCCACGTCGGGGAAGAGCTCCAGGCCGTGCAGGGGAGAGCGCAGCCGCTCAAAGTGCTGCAGCATGACTTGCCCAAAGGCGTCTCGCGGCTTCATCTGCTCATAGATGACAAAAAGGGCGTCGGGGAAACGCTGGGCGGCCCAGGCGATGAGGGCCGCGGCCCCGGGCGGCTCCAGGTAGGTCAGCACCGCCTCGGCCAGGAGCAGCGTGGGGGAGGTGGCGTCCAGGCCCGCGCCGTCCAGGGCCTCGCCTAATCGCGGAAGCTCACGCAGGTCCGCGCCCAGGATGCGGTAATCCGAGCTCTCGAAGCACAGAGCGGACGCCGAGTCCCCGATCTGGAAAGGGCCGGTCAGCGAGCACAGCTCCGGGGTCTCCCTGATCCTCTCCGCCTTGCGCCGAGACACGTCCGGGAAGTCCACCTCCCAGACGGCAGCCCGGGCCAGGAGGCCCGCAGCTTTCAGGCGAAAGTACAGCGAGTCGGAGCCGGCACCCAAAGACAGGATCTGCGCCCGGGTCGGGGCCGGGAGCGCGCCGGTGCGCTGGAGGAAGGCGCGCACGCAGTGACGCACGGCGCGCGCGCGCACGTAGTAGCCGCGGTGGACGAGCGGCGTGCGCCGCACAGGTCCCGGGACGAGCAGCGCCGCGAAGGCGTCGCGCACGTATCCGTGTGCGGCCAGCGATCGCTTGCTGAGGGCGCTGCTGTCGTTGGTGCTCTGGACCGCTCCCGCCCGGCGCTCGCGGCCTCGCGGGCCCATGACCCGAAGACGCTCTGCAATACTCCACACGAAGCACTCACCGGGTTGGTGCTCATCCGCTTCCGGGTGCCCGTGTGCGTCACTTCCGAGCAGAGCGCGCTCTGCCAAAATCCGCGAGAGACCTTTTGATTTTTTTTTTTTCCTCCAATCACGTTTTCCCGCGAACACGCCCTTTGCTTAGGTGACAGCTGGAGTGTGGGGAGCTCAGTTTACCACTTTCCTACAGATTTTTCGGCGTGAAGGGAAAGAAATTGTGTAGGTATTTCAGAACATTTTTAGGTGAGTTGTGGGCTGACGACCTGCAAAGGACCAGCACCGCGGATCTTTAGCAGGCAAAAGTAGATGGTTTCTTTCCCGGCGGTTGGTGGCGCACGCCTTTAATCCTAGCAGTCGGGAGGTAGAGGGAGGCGCGAATCTTTGTGAGTTCGAGGCCAGCCGGAGTCTACAGAGCAAGTTCTAGCACAGCCGGGGCTACGCAGAGAAACCCTGTTTCGAAAAAACCAAACCAAAACAAAACAAAAAACCGCTGACAGTTTCTCCATTATTAGTTCTCGTTGCGAGGGAGAACTCATTTAAATCTTAAATTAGGCCAGATGGAAAGTGAAGAAAGAGACCTTTACAGATAGTTACTGGTAATTTAGTCCCCTGCACCCATCCGTGCTGTGTATTTACAGTTCTATGCCAGGTCTACAGTGAGTAAAGTAGTCACCTTCTCTTCAACTATAAAATGACGTCAACTCTCCTCCACTTCCAAAATTCTGTGATTCTTATGTGGTGCTGAGTATGTCTGCTGAGAACAGTGTGAAAGAGATGTAATTATTCCCGGTGGCATGTTGAGTTCCTCCACCCCCTTTTTAAAGACAGCAACCCAGGTTGGAGTGTAGAATGAAGTACTACATTGGGTGCCTAGGAGTTATCAGTAAGAAAGCACTCCCAGAGGTGTAGAAACGTTATCATTTATTAATTTTGTGTCTGGCTGAATTAGGAAAGGAAATTAGGATGATTTTAACAACTAAGTATGAGTTTTGGAGTCCAGCTGATTGAAAATGTCAAGTTTTGGTGTTCAGGAGCTGATTAGTGATCTTCGGGGAGCAGTTTCTGTAGCAGAATGACTAAAAGTGAGCACAAGACTGGAGGCATCTAGTCTACCCAGAGAAGAGCAGACAGTAACTTCAAGCCTCCATCCAGAGACAGGATCTGGGCCCAAAATCAGGTCCAGCACAGCCCCAGCCCATTTAAGGAAGGTGTTGGTGCAGCATGAAGTTGAAATAGTGTCTTCTTGTGAAAGCAAACATGTACTACATGTGTGTGTTAACCTGACATTGCCCATAGAAAAGTTAAAGGAGCATACAAACAGATAAGAAGTGAGGTCCTGACCTTTGACTAACTCTGAATTGTAATACACCTCTTACTAGCGTGAATACTTTTTCTTATATTTTGTTTATATCCTTTACTAGTCATTTCCCCACTGCAGAAACACCTAAGATTAGCTTGAGGGAAGGGGGCCGTGTAAAAGGAAATAGCAGTGGGGTTTTTTTTGTTTATACATTAGCATCTGAAAATATTTACATTCCTTAATGTAGGTGAAATTGATCCCAAAGCCACATTAAAATATGTGTTAAGTAAAGCAATCTGAAGAAAGCCCAGGACCTCAGAAATTCTGACTTAATTAAGTTGTATTGCCCAAGTGAAGAGTAAGAGTGAAGAGAAATCTTTGCCTCCTCCTGGAAGGATGGAGGCAGAAGGACAGCAGCCATGGAAGACAGACTTTTACGTGGAATTGCCAAAAGTGGTAAGAATGAACTGCAGAATTCTTGTTGCATAATGACTTTTATATTGTTTTCCACAAAAGAAAAGTAAATTTTATGGGTAGAAATTGTAGAAGGGTATAGCTAATTCAAGTAGCTTGCCTAGTACAAACTACAAACAGTCAGAGCCTGGTATGGGACTAGGAATCTAGTAGATATTTGGTACCTTTTTACTGATTATATTCTCTTGTTTTAGGAGCTCCATGCCCACTTGAATGGCTCCATTAGTTCCAATACCATGAAGAAATTAATAGCCAAGAAGCCACATCTTAAAGTTCATGATCACATGACCATGATTGACAAGGGAAAGAAAAGGACTTTAGAAGAGTGAGTTTGGGGAAGTGGGAATTTTTTTGTCTGTCAGTATTTTGAGATTGTAGTATATAAGAATCAGATTTTAATACTTAAATAAGAGACATCTGGCATGGAAAATACAACCAACCATATAGCATTTTTCCAACTGTTAGACTACTGACAGTATTTGTATTGATTTATATTGTTTGTTAAATTATACTGTATTGAGTTGCTTCTTGGCTTTTTCCCTATTTGCTGTTGTTGGAGGATTAGAGAATGGGAATTATTATTTCATACTTTAAAATATACATAAATAATATCTTCTTTTTAGCTATTAAATTGGCTTTCTAGATCAATGTAATTTTTGAAAAGAATCAATCCTATAGTTCCTTGTAAATCTAAATATATACTTACTATTAACCTAAAGTTTACTAATTAATTCCACTTGGGGAGTTTTTCTTGAGTAATGAGTTTTTGCAGACTGAAGTATATTAAAACGTTTTGTTCATTTGTAGATGTTTCCAGATGTTCCAGGTTATTCACCAGCTTACTACTAGTGCTGAGGACATTCTAATGGTGAGACATGGAAGGCGTTTTAGAATGGTGAATTGAAAGCAGTGAACGTCTCATTGCTTTCATTAGGGTTCTGATGAAAATGTTTTATTTTTTCCCTCTCAGTTTCTTTTCCATTAACTTTTAAATTTTTTGTAATGACAGCTCTTTTAGAAATCACTGTAAGACGGGTGGTGGTGGTGGTGGTGGTGGCAGTGGCAGCAGTGGCAGCACACGCCTTTAATCCCAGAACTCAGAAGGCAGGGGCAGACTGATCTCTGAGTTCAAGGCCAGCCTGGTCTACAAAGTGAATTCCAGAACAGCAAGGACTAAAACAGAGAAACCCTGTCTTGGAAAACCAAATAAATAAATAAATAATAAAAATCAGTGTTAAGACATCTGCCTAAGAGCTAAGGTAAAGTCTGTTATTGTTAAAGAAATGAGGGAGGGAGTGCAAGGGAAAAAGGAATTTGTGAGGAAAGAACCAAGATCACCATCTTCTATTGGATAGGGAATAATGCAGACAGGCAAGCCTGATCCTATTTCCATATATGACATGTCATAAGAAATACTTGGGGCTGGAGAGATGCTCAGTGTGAAGAGCACTGGCTGCTCTTCGGAGGACCCAGATTTGATTCCCAGCACCTGCATCGTGGCTCACAACCCACTGTAACTTCAGTTCCAGGGAATCTGACATCCTCTTCTGGCCTCTGTGGCACTGCACACACATGGTGAACAGACATACAAGCAGGAAAAACATTTGTATACATAAAATAAAAATAAACCTTCAAAAAAGAAATACTTGACCTCAGATGGGCATTACATTATTATTCATTCCTCTCTTTGTTTTTTGTTTTTGTTCTTGTTTTTTCCTTATAGCCCAGACTGGTCTCATACATTTGCTGTAGTTGAGGCTGGCCTTATACTCCTAGTCTTCCTGTCTCCACCTTTCAAGTGCTGGGATTACAGGTGTTCGCCACAATGCCCAGGTCATTAAGGAAAATGTGACATGTGCTTATAATTCAGCTTGTTCAAGCCTGGACTGCATAGCAAGACTAACACCCCTTCCCTACCTCTGTCTCACACACACAGGCGTGCGCAGGGAGGGAGGGAGGGAAGGAAGAAAGGAAGGAAGGAAGGAAGGAAGGAAGGAAGGAAGGAAGGAAGGAAGGAAGGAAAGTCAGATACAGAAAATAAATGGGGAAAAATGGATAGGTGAGTAGTTCAGTGGTAGAGGGCTTGCCTAGAATGAAAGAGACCCTGGGTTTGAAATCTCTACCACATCTGCATGCAAAAAAGAGAAAAAAAGAAAAAGAAAAGAAAATGAAAAGGCAAATAAAAAATACAATCTAGGTTCTGAAGAATTAACCTTTAAACTAGTCAGTTTTTTCCTCTTTGGATTAAGCATGCTAATTGTATTGATTCCCCTTTAGAAAAGAATTAACTTTAATAATTTGGTTCAGCAAAAGTTGACTGTGTACCCCCGTGTTCCAGGCACTATGCCAAGTATATATACTTGGGTGATCTAAAGAGATACAGATACAATCCCTACTTTTGGGGGGTTTGTGGGAGGTTGGAGAAATAGTCCTGCCAGTAGATGGATTTATGTAGTGCGGTAAGCTCTCTGTTGGGGATATGCAGAGGGCTTTCTAGGCATCTAAAAGGATGCAATCTCATTAGCTGCTCAGCAGATACCAGGGGACACTGCTAGCAGTGTCTACTACAACGGCTCTCTCCGGTCTCACTTTATTAGTGGATCATGCAGGGCAGATGATGAGCTTAAGGCACCGTTGGTAGAGTAATGCTGTTTTTGTTTCAGAAGGAAAGTTGATGGGAAGCTCTTCGATGAGACAAGACTGTAGCAGGAATCTTAAAAGTTCTTATTAATAAAATCAAACCCGAGGCCAGTTATTGGGGTCAATGCTCTTTTCTTTTCTTTTCTTTTCCTTTCTTTTCCTTTCCTTTCCTTTCCTTTCTTTTCTTTTCTTTTCTTTCTCTCTTTCTTTCTTTTTTAGACAGGGTTTTTCTATGTAACAGCTCTGGCAGTCCTGAAGCTCACTCTGTAGACCAGGCTGTCCTCAAACTCACAGAGATCTGCCTGCTTCTGCCTCCCAAGTTTGGGATTAAAGGCGTGCATCACCATGCCTGGCTAAAAGTGGGAATCTTAGTTGACAAAATGCCTCCATAAGACTGGTCTGTAGGCGGGTCTGTTGGTCTATTGGGCATTTTTTGATTACTGATTCATATGGCAGGGCTCAGCACTCTGGGCAGTCTACCCCTGCTGAGCAAGCCATGAGAAGCAAGCCATTAGGCAGCACTCCTTTATGGCGTCTGCTTCAGTTTCCTCCTGCCTCCAGTTCCTGCCCTGACTTCTCTCCGTGATGGAGTGTGACTTGAGAGTTGTGAGCTCCCCAAGTTTCTTTTAGTCATGGTGTTTTATCACAGCAATAGAAACCCTAACTAAGACATGGGACTCACTTAAACTCTAGTCAAGATCACCTATAAAAGAGTCGGGTTCTACAAGGGCCAGGCATGGTGGCCTGTGCCTTTAGGTGTAGCATTTGAGAGGCAGAGGCAGGTGGATCTCTGTGAGTTTGAGGCCAGCCTGGTCTACAGAGTGAGTTCCAGGACAGAACTTTGTGGAGAGACCTTGTCTCAGAAAAGAGATTAAAAGTGGCCTGGGATTGCAGCTCACTGGTACTCCACTCGCTTAGTGCCCGTTGCTTACTTCCCAGCACACTTCACCAAACAAACAAACAAACAAACAAACAAACAAAAAGAGAAAAATGAAATGTAGCTTACTTAAAGTCACACATAGAAAGTGACAGAATTGTGCCTCTTGCAGAGCTGATACACTTTCCTGTTAAGGAATTTAACTGATTGGACTGTGTTCTGTCGGAGCAAGAATTGGAACTGATGAGAGAGCCAGCCCCTAACATGGCTGCTCTCAGCATCTGGTTTCTCTGTCTGTCTCAGGGGAAGAGGGTAGGCTGGCCCTTCCTGGTTGTAGTTCTGGGTAATGATGAGATCCAGGTTTCTCAGCCTGCAGAGATAAGGCCGCGCTTTGTTACAGCCGTGGCAACAGGTTGGTGTTCTTGGCAGTGGTCCCCAGAGTGTCCAGTGCCAGCAGTGCTGGAAGGTGAGGGAGGCAGCAGGATACCTTTGTCGTCTGTGATGACAAGATTTTGGATTGCTCTAGTGTTGCCTTGAGCAGTGCAGTCTCTGTCTGTCTGATTTTCTAGCCTGCCTTGTGAATATGAACTATCCATTCTATGATTAATAATTTCTTTCCAGACAGCGCAGTGGTGGCACATACCTTTAACCTAGCACTCAGGAGGCAGAGGCAGAGGCAGAGGCAGAAAAAGTTCCATGATAGCTAGGGCTACACAGAGAAATCCTGTCTTGAAAAACAAAAAATAGAAAAATTCCCTTTTGGCTTTCACGAGGCCAAAAACGTGGGTGCAGACATTGTATTGCTAGAAATTCACTGAGTCCTGTCTGTTAGGTATTGTCTGCAGAGGCAGCCAGCCCTTGTTCCTTTGTGAAGACACTGTCCTTGCAGGTTCTTGAGCACAGTCAAAGAAGATTAAGATTAGCCTAAACAACTGAAGCGCCAAGCAGGGCCGACTTGGGGGATCTCCAGTCTGGTCTCTTCCCCTCCCATCTAAATTGGCTATTTCTTAGGATTGATGGCAGAAAAGAAAAATATGCCTCCAGCAATTTTTAGGTTGTTAGGTTTGTACAGTATTAGATAGTTTTACTTTATTTATCTCACACTTTCTTTGCCTAGGGGTGATTTTTCCCAAAAACCTCAGAGACAAAGTTGGCCTACTAGAATTTGGTGAAAAATACAGGGCGTTCCTACATAACTTGCATAAGAACCTTAAGCCACGACCTTAGCTAACACACAGATAATGTCTAATTGTCACATAGTAGAGCTGTTTACTTCTGTCTGTCCATTTCCCAGCACCGTGCAAACACTGTGTGGCTCCATTGGCTCTGACTCATTTCTCTTTTATCTGTTATTATAAACACTAGGAAGTCAAAGAGATGCTTTCAAGAAGGGAGAGAAAGCCAGGATTGCCACTAGGCAGGCAGAGGCAGGAGAATCAGGTGAGTTCAAGGCTCACCTAGACTACCTGTCTCAAAAATTAAAAAAAAGAAAAGAAAGAATGGCTAGTATGCAGACTTAGTTTTCACGTGGGAATGGGGTCATGGGAACTGTTGCCAAGCTGGCGTGGATCTCTGTTAGGTACAGACAAAGCAGGCTATCCCTCTTACCCGGGAGATTTCCTACATCCTTTGCCAGTCAAATTTAACCAGTGAAATAAAACCGTAGCACTCGGCCCTTTCGTTGGCTACCTCCCTCCAGCACTGTCAACGTGTGTGCGTTGTCTTTATTGTCAGGTCACAAAAGATGTCATTAAGGAGTTTGCAGACGATGGTGTCAAGTACCTGGAGCTGAGGAGCACCCCCAGAGGAGAGAACGCTACTGGTAGAGTTTAATTACTTCTCAGGGAATGTACTGTCCTGTTGCCATGTGCTCTGGTCGCACAGGGTTCGTGTTTGCTTCCATTACTCAGCAACAACGAAAGTTCTTCGAGTGTACATTAGTGATGCTTAAAATGGCTTTTAAAAAATATATGTGATGCTGAGTTTCAGGACCAGGACCTCACACATTGTAGGCGAGTGATCTACTCCTGAGCAGCAGTGATGCTCATTATTCGTAATTAATTCTTAAATCAAAAGGCTGTTGGTGAGAGGCCCAACCTGAGCAAGATTGAGGGGAAGGAACTTGGGTTTCGAGTTTTAGAGTTTTTTCCTAGAATAGAAGAAAAACATCCTGCTAAGGGAGAAAAATCTTTTATTTATGTATTTGGTATTTTGAAACAAGGTCTTTGTAGACCAGGCTGGCCTAAAACTTCAGCTCTTCCTACCTCAGCCCCCCAGATGCCAAGATTAAGGTAGTATCACCATGACTAGCTCTTAATAACTTTTTTTTTAAGTTAAAAAATTATTATTTTTGTATGAGGAACATGCCAATTTTTGTATGAGGAACATGCCATAGCACACATGTGGAAGTCAGAGGACAAAGACTAATTTTCAGTTGGGTTTGTATTGTCATTTTGGTCTGTTTTCAATTTTCTGTCTTTTATTACTTTTATGTTTGTTTATGAACATTTTTATAAAGCACTTATTATTCCTAAAGTTGGTTTTGTTTTTTTTCACTTTTTAAACTTTGTCTTTTCAGTTTTGTTAAAGTCCAGTCATTAACTGAAATGGCCTGTTGTGATAGCAGATAATGGTAGAGTATTCTTTAGAGGTGAGGTAGAAGCTGGAGGATCATGAGTTTGAGGCTGGCTTGGGCCACATCATTTAGGAATATGAATGTGACTCAGTGGTAGAGCATCTGCCTAGCAAACATGATGTCGTAGGTTCAGTCTCCAGGTCCACAGACAGACAAAGGATACTATACTAAATGTTTCCCCTTGGGGCCAGAGAGGTGGCTTAGCATATAAGAGCCCTTCTGCTCTTTCAGAGGACCAGTTTGGTACTCAGCACCCCCATCAGGGGGCTCACCACAATCTGTGACTCCAGCTCCAGGAGATCTGACGCCCTCTTCTGGCCTCTTTGGGTACTCACACACATGTGCATATGTGCACACACACAAGATAAAATATTTAAAAAAACAAAAGTTTTCCCTAAAGGCCACGCTAATTCACCTTTAACCAGGCCCTAGCGTAGCATAAAGTGTTGCTGTTTGCAGGATGAGCTAGGTGATACTGTTTTTACATATGTTCCTCTGTGCTCTTTCCAGGAATGACAAAGAAGACTTACGTGGAATCCATTCTTGAAGGCATAAAACAGTGCAAACAAGAAAACTTAGATATTGATGTTAGGTAAGAAGATGGTGCATTAATAATAGTTATCCTTTTAAAAAGCAGAATGTGATGTTTTACTGTCTCATAAAGGTGATGGATTTTTAAAAAAATCAACTGTTATCTGATTTTTACCTACAATAGAAAAAAAAATAGAATCAAGAACCTTGTTGCGTAAGATGAGAATACAGTTCTGAATTTGGTCATCTGGTAGTGAAATTCTAGTATTTTTGCTCAAATTGAGTATGGCTTCTTGTTGCTGTTAAGGTGAAGTGGACCTCCTTTTTTTTTTTTTTTGTTGTTGTTGTTGTTGTTGTTTTTTGTTTTTTTGAGACAGGGTTTCTCTGTGTAGCTTAGGAGCCTGTCTTGGAACTCACTCTGTAGCCCAGGCTGGCCTCGAACTCACAGAGATCCGCCAGGCTCTGCCTCCCAAGTGCTGGGATTAAAGGCATGTGCCACCACTGCCCGGTGAAGTGGACCTCTTGTAACTACCCACATAGTCCCACAGGATCTGGCTCCTTGCTCTCTCTCTTGTAGGCTAAGACTATCTATGTCAGTGCCTTGCACTTACTGGCACATATGCCTTCCATCATGTCCTCACACATCTACATTCTCATTACTCAGGTCTCAGTTTGACTATTATTTCTTCAGAGAGGCCAGTCTGTCTAACATGTTCATGGCCCCAAATCCCCTCCTCACTCATGTTCCTCTGTGGCATTTGTTTGTATTGTTATGAAGTGTGCATGCCCTTTGACCAGAGTGTAAGTTCAGAGAGGCCAGAGTCCTTGACATTGATTCACCACTACATCTTCAGTACTTTGAACGAAGCCAGCTTTTGAGATAGAGTCAGGTAACCCAGACTGGCCTGGAACTTGCGATACAGACAAGCAAGGAGGTAGGAGGTGAAGACAGGCAGATACCTGGAAGTTCCCAGGCCAGCCAGCTTGGCCTGCATGAGGAAGTTCCAGGCCAATGGGAGACTGTCTCAGACAAAAGGTGAAGGTGCTCGAACTCCTGATCCTACTGCCTTTCTCTCCCAAGTGCTGGGATTATGGTCATGTGCCGTGATGCCTGGCTTCATCACCTATTTATTCTTGTCAAAAAATTAAGTCTGATCTAATTAAGCATCTAAACTAGATCCAGTTAATCAGTTTAAAGAAAATACAGGAGGACATGTTAACATGGGGATGCAGTCAACAGAACCCAAACTGTGGGAAGCTTTGTAGGACACACAACAAATACTTTGCAAGAAAAGAGGTAGGCTAGAAATGAGAATGGGAGAGAAGTGAGTAGGAGTAGATGAAAAGAGACTTAGGAGGTTGGGAGATGGCTCAGTTGGTAAAGCACTTGCCTAGCAAGTGTGAGGACATGAGTTCAAATCCCTAGAACCCCCATAAAAAGCCAGGTGTTCATGCTGTAATCCTAGAGATAGTGAGGTAGGAGGTGAAGACAGGCAGGTACGTGCAAGTTCACGGGCCAGCTAGCTTGGCCTGCGTGAGGAAGTTCCAGGCCAGTGGAGACTGTCTCAGACAAAAGGAGAAGGTGCTTGAGCACCCACACCCGATTGTCCTCTGGCCTTCACATGTTCACCAAAACCCTGTCTGTACTTGGAACCCTTACAAATGATCGCGCACACATCCATACACAAAATACACTTTTAAAAAAGATCAAGGGGTTGGGGATTTAGCTCAGTGGTAGAGTGCCCGCCTAGCAAGCACAAGGCCCTGGGTTCGGTCCTCAGCTCCGAAGGGGGGAAAAATAAATAAAAAATAAACAAAGGATAAAGATGAGAGATACAGTGACTAACGAAAACTGCAGACTTCATTTAGATCCTGAATCAAACTAAATCAAAAACCAGAATATCCTAAGATGTAAACAAAAAGGTGAGATTATTAGAAATTTGAACAGACTAGATACTGACACGATTTAGATGGTTAGATGATCCTGTCTCATTCTGTGTAGCAGAGTGCAGTGCCATGTTTAGATTCACTGCCTTTCGGAGTAAGCTATATTCCAGGTAGCCAGCCACCTTTTTCTAGCAAAATTAAGTCTTTTTTATATGCATCATAGTTTTTCCAAGTGGATTTTTGGTGGTTGTTTTTTTTATTTTGTTGGAGACAGGACCTAGACATGTTCTAATGTGGCCCAGGCTGGCCTCTAACTCTACCCATCTCAGATATTTCTGTGGTTCTGAGTTGCTCTTTACTCTTCAGGTGGCTTTGTGCTAAGTAGTCTCAATGAAGTGACTAAGTTCGTAAGGAAAAGATATATGATTATAGGTAGCCCTTTCTGGAGTTAGTTGATTTTAAATTGGTGGAGGTTTTTTGGTTTGGTTGGTTTTTCTGAGACAGGTCTCATGCATTCCAGGTTGGCCTTAAACTCACTTGATAGCTCAGGATGATCTTCCTGCCTCTATCTTCCAGATACTTTGATTATAGGCCTATATATACCCATGTCTGCCTTCAACTGTGATTTTCTTGATTATAATATCTTCCTGCCAGGGTAGTATCAACTGTGTTTTTCTTATATTAAAGGTATTTGATGGCAATTGACAGAAGAGGTGGCCTGACAGTAGCCAAGGAGACTGTTGAACTTGCTAAAGAGTTCTTCCTCTCTACTGAGGATACAGTTCTTGGCCTTGACCTCAGTGGAGACCCTACTGTAAGTTACTAAATTTTATCTCCTAGTGGCAGAATCAGTCAGTGGGGTGAGCATTAGCTTGGAGCATCATTCATTAGGGCAAGCACACACCTAATGATGCCCTGTTTTGCCCTAGATCAACAGAATATATAGCATAGCATTTCTTAGGGATTCTTAAAAGAAATACTGTAAAAATAAATTATAGATATTATTCAATATGACCACTCTGTCCATTCTTCTAAAGAGAGTAAATAAGTAGTTACAGTCTTTGTACCCAGAAGTTAATTCCATTATGTATCATGAATAGATAAGGGTGTTAAAAGTGTAATTATACCCTAAAAACCCCCTAGAAAGAAGGGTTGCATGAGCTTCCTGAGTGAAAGATTCAAACAAGTCTTGATATTTGGGGCCAAATAATTCTTTGTGGGTAGTCCTCTGATTTTTGTCTCTTTTTGTGACATTTGGTGTGTGTGTGTGTGTGTGTGTGTGTGTGTGCGCGCGCGCGCGTGTGCGCTTGTGTGTGTTGTTGTTTTTAATCATGAAAGCTTCCTAAACCAAATGAGTTCTCCATAATACTAAACATCTATGTGAAATAAAAATTCTGGCCTGTCACACCCAACTTGCTTGTTGACCTGAGCTCACTGGTGTTGACCTGAGCTCACTGGTACTGGACTTAAGATTCAAAGTCAGGGATAACCTTTCCATGGTGTATTCCCTGAAGGGTCCAGCACATTAAAGGCTCTCTATAAGCAAGAGGTTCAAATGAAACCAATCTGCCTTCATTTTATCCCTCCGGGGGCAGAACACCAGATCCCTCAGTTTGCTCAATATTCTCATGCACCCTTGTTTTATCTTCAAGATAGGACAAGCAAAAGACTTCTTGGAACCTCTTCTAGAAGCTAAAAAAGCAGGTCTGAAGTTGGCATTGCATCTTGCAGAGGTAAATAATATTGTCGTAGAGTAGAGAGGGCAGATTATAATTTAAAAAATAAAATTGTTTGTAAACTAGTAGAAATAGTTGTTGTTTATTTTTTTATTTTTATTTTTATTTTTTTTGTGACAGGGTCTCATGTAACCCAGACTGGCCTGGAATTCACTTTGTAGCTGAGGATGTCTTTGAATTTCTGATCCTTCTGCCCCCTCAAATGCTAGGGGTTGTAGGCCTATGTCACCACGCTGTTTAAAACCTTTTAGAAGGGGGAATTAGAAGTATTTTTAAGTGTTAATTAAAACATTAAGGCATGATTTGATTTAATGTTACTGTTTTTAAGGTATGGAATTAAAGGCGTGTGCCATCACTGCCCGGCTTAGCTTTTACTTCTCTATGTTCATACTTCATGAGATTATTATTATGCCGTAAAGGATTGATAAAGCTGAGGAGGTTTGAAAAGGTTTAAGTAATTATGTTTCCTAAAAATGTTGGCATTCACTACTCAGAGGGCAGAATAAAATACCTCAGTTACTGGCAGAGGCCATTGATCCTCTCCTCTTACTTTTCTGAAGGTTCCAAATAAGAAAAAAGAAACACAAATGCTGTTGGATCTGCTTCCTGACAGAATCGGGCACGGCACATTCCTCAACTCCTGCGAGGGAGGATCCCTGGATCAGGTGGATTTTGTGAGGCAACACCGGATACCTCTGGGTGAGACTTAGATTTCATGTCGCCAGACAGCCCTCTTGCCCTTCTTCCTCCAGTCCCTAGACTGCAAGATTTGTGTGGAAAAGGATTGTTCTAAAATTCAGATATTTACAAATTAAGACACCTGGTGTGTGTGCTTTCTGGGTCTCATTTAAGTGCTGAAAGTTTTAGCTTCTATTAGAAACTAAGTTTCATGATGTCTGGGCTCTCTCTGTCTCTTACTCTGGCTGTGTTCATCCTTACTGACTGCTACAGTCCCCAGTGCTGGCAACTCAGTCTTTTGTTGTTGTTATTGTTTTGTTTGTTTAAGGAACAAAGGTCATTTAGAATTTTGAAGATTACCATAATAAAATTAACACATGGATCCAATGAGATCGGTCACAGGTAGAGATGTATACTGCCAACCATGATGACCTGAGTTCTATCTGGCTGACTCACAGGGTCCTCTGATTCTCTCTCTCTCTCTCCTTTCTTTCTCTTTCTTTCTCTCTCCCTCTCTAAATAAATGTAAAAAAAATTAAAATTAATGTTATAGAAATGTGTAACATTTACTTAAAAATTAAGAATTACAGCTGGTGGCATGGTATATTCCTACCATGTGGGAGTCTGAGGCAGGAGGATTACTAGTTTGAGACTAGCCTAGATTACTTAGGGAAACCTGTCTCAAAAATTAGGGAAATTGGGGTTAGAGAGACTGCTCAGCAGTTAAGAGCAATGGGTGTTCTTTCAGAGGACCAGGGTTCAATACCCAGAACCCACATGGGCGCTCACAACTGTGTCTAAATTCAGTTCCAGCGGATCTGACCCTGTCTTCTGGCCTCCCTCCTCAGGCACTAGGCATACTTTAGTTGTTTTTTTGTTTGTTTTGTTTTGTTTTACTCTTTGGGGGCCTGCCACCCAGCTCCCAAATAAATAAATGGAGACTTATTCTTACTTATGAATGCCTGACTTCAGCTTGGCTTGTTTCTTGCCAGCTTTTCTAATTTAAATTACCTATGTTTTGCCTTTGCTTACTCTTTGCTGCTTACTCTGCCGCTGGCTGTGTGGCTGACCCCCAGCATCCTCCTCTCCTCCTCTTCTGGCTTCTCCTCCTTGCTCTTTTTTCTAGATTTCTCCTCCAATTCATTCTCTCTTCCTGCCAGCCCCTCCTGTCCTTTCTCCTGCCCAGCTATTGACTGTTTAGCTCCTTATTAGGCCGATTAGCCAAAGTAACACAGCTTTACAGAGTTAAACAAATGCAACATAAAAGGATACAACACATCTTTGCATCATTAAAACAAGTATTCCACAGCATAAATGAATGTAATACATCTTAAAATAATATTCCACAACAGTGTACAAGTAGCACATAGACATACACATAAAATAAAAATTAAAAAACATGTTTAAAAATGAGGGAAAGTGGAAACCAGTTTTTACACACTGATTGCCATTGCACACTTGATTGTGACTGTGCTTCATGAAGTGACTTTTGTTGTAGTTGTTACACCATTTGCTGAGATTGGAGCAGTAGAGAAAGTTGACAGCTTCCTTCCTAAACTCATCAGAAGACAACAAATGCATCCCCCCAAATCGGTATTAGGCCAGGCATGATAACACACACCTTTAATCCCAGCACTGCAGAGGCAGAGGAAGGTGGATCAAGGCTAGCCAGTAGGTTCCAGGCCAGCCAGGGCTCCATAGAGAGCCTTGTGTTAAAACAACAAGGATAGATGTGATGTGAGGCTCTGTGAAAGAGTGTGTCAGGCTGATTATACTCCGGGCCTGTAGTCTTCTCAAGTCATCTTGAGAAGCAAGGGAAGCCCATCACTGTGAAGAAAACATTAACTCCTTGCCTGGTTCAGCCACAGCGATAACAGGTATCTCTGTACAGGTACATTCTCTGAACTGCAATTTGTGTGTTTGTATGGAGTGGTGGAAGGCAGTGCAGAGCCTTGCACATGCAGGGCAGGCCTTCTCCTGCTGAGCTACACCCCAGATGGGAACTACAGTTTCCCATTACACATGAGCAGCAGTATGTTTTGTGGAATAATGAAACTGCTTAAATCAGCAGTTTGGAAAGTTTTCTTGTGAGTCTGCCTGGTGCTCACTGAATGAGTTCACTTACTTGCTTCTAATAGAAGGATTTTTTTCCCCTTTCATCTAGAACTTTGTTTGACCTCAAACATCAAAAGCCAGACAGTTGCCTCTTATGACCAGCATCATTTTGGATTCTGGTACAGCATTGCTCATCCTTCTGTGATCTGTGTAAGAAGTATTCTATTCCTGCTCCTTTTTAGTTGCTATATTAAGTCATAGGTTTATTATCTTGCTGACTTGCTCGGGTTCCTAAAGGAAATGCCCCAGTTACGGAGCTAGAGGGGGAGGGGGAAGCTGCAAAGGGCTCAGTGATACCTGGCTGGGTTCTGAGAAGCAGAAAGGCAGTATCTGGGGAAGCTTAAAAAAAAAAGTGCTGGTGCCCAGTATGCATGCAACATGAACTGGGATGAGTCCTGGCCATGGATATGCTCTAAAAAGGCTTTATGTGCTTGTAATATGCAAGCCAGGGTTAAAGTACTCCGGTCTTTTTTTTTTTTTCTAAGTATAAACAAGTTTGTCACTGATATGCACACATACGTTCCTTTTTAGACTATTGAAAGAAGCATGGGAAAATAAATTCTGAACAAAAAGTTAATTTTTACAAAGCACTTCTTTTTTTGAACTGTTCTTGTTTACATTGGCAGACCGATGATAAGGGTGTTTTTTCGACACACCTTTCTCACGAGTATCGACTGGCAGCAGAAACATTTAATTTGACCCCATCTCAGGTGTGGGATCTGTCTTATGAATCCATCAGCTACATCTTCGCTTCTCACAACACCAGATCTGAACTGAGAAAGAGGTGGAATCACCTGAAGCCCAAAGTGCTACACTTTTAAGCTGGGATGACGTGACCTACTTTCGATTATATGCTGTAGCCGTCTCTCCTGCCACATCCCACTCAGTGAACTGTCCACTACTTCCTGGAAGCTCAGTACCAGGTATATGTGGGGTCATGACACCAGCACCTTACGTATGGTAAGTGCTCGTTATACCTCAGACTAAGAGCCCTGAGGCCTGGCATGCTTCGGCTCCATGCTGCTGCTGGAGGACGGGAGGGCCGTCAGCCGGATCCCTCTTTCCACTAGTGACTTTTTCAGTTATCGCTCCCTCTCAGGCCGCGATCATAAACCTTCTGAGAAGTTGAAGCTGTTTGTCTTCGGGAAGGCCTCGGTGTTTCGTTAATCAGACTCTCTCCGCTTTCTTTAACCCTTACAAGTGTTATTTCTCAAGCCTGTCGATGCCAGGCCACATTGCACACCAGAACCATTTGTGTGGGTGCCTCGTTGTCAGGTGACCGTAGTGACAAGCTAGACTCTGCCTTGCCTGTCTCATAATAGCTTTAGAAATATATAAAGGGATTGAAGTAATTCCTTCAGTTTAAGAAAAGGAAAGAATTGCTGGCTCGAAGTGGGAACGACGTAGGCTGGAGCTTCAGTTTTCAAATCAGCTTCTAGTTAGCTTTCTTTGTGGAAGCTGCCAGGACTCACTTCGAAGATCGTTCTAGGAATGGGAGCATTGTGGCTTCTAGGGTTCTTAGGTCTCCTGTGACCTCATGCCCACAGGCATAGGCTTACATAAACACCTGTATACCTGTATACCATGGGCACTTTAGCCCAAGACAAGGACAACTAAGGTTGGCTCTGTGTGGTAAGAAGATGACTTAACAGGTAGCAAATGTCCTGGTTAGTTTTTTCAACTTGATACAAGCTAGAGTCATTTGGGAAGAAGGACCCTAACTGAGAAAATGCTCCCACCAGATTGGCCTAATCGGTGCTTTATCAGTTGTGGACCCATCCCACAGGTGATGCCACCCCAGGCAGGTGGTTCTGGGTGGAATAAGAAAAGAAATTGAGCAAGTACATGAGCAAGCCAGTAGGCAGCATTCCTCCATTGCTTCAGCTTCAGTTTCTGCCTCAACTTTCTAGGATGATGGACTACAAATTATAAGAGGAAATAAGACTCTTTCTTCCTCAAGTTGCTTTTGGTTATGGTGTTTTATCACAGCATTAAAAACCCTAAAACAGTTAAGTAAACTTGAATTGCTCTCCTTATTAGAATGTATGTTTTCCCTGGTCTCAGAGAAGAAGCCTGATAACACCCTTAATTCAATTACTAAGGTTGAAATTTCTGTGTGTCTTTTAGGGTGCACAGGAAAGGAAAATACTTAAACTTCTGAAGTTCTTAGATATATGTTTTATGATAAACCTTTTATTTATTTATTCATTTATTCATTCATTCATTCCCTTCCTTCTCTCTCTCTCTCTCTCTCTCTCTCTCTCTCTCTCTCTCTCTGTTTCTTTCTTTCTTTTTTTCTGGTTTTTTCAAGGTTTCTCTGTGAAGCAGTCCTGGCTGTCCTGGAACTCACTCTGTAGACCAGGCTGGCCTTGAACTCACAGAGATCCGCCTGCCTCTGCCTCCTGAGCACTGGGATTAAAGGCATGCCCCGCCACTGCCCAGCATAACCTTACATTTCTAACTATACATATTCACATATACAGATTTTTTAAAAATCTATAAAATGGGGGGCTGGAGAGATGCTCAGAGGTTAAGAGCACTGGCTGGTCTTCCAGAGGTCCTCTGTTCAATTCCCAGCAACTACATGGTGGCTCACAACCATCTGTAATGAGATCTGGTGCCCTCTGCTGTCATGCAGGTATACATGGAGGCAGAACACTGTATACATAATAAACAAATGTTTTTTAAAAATCCATAAAATGTCATCCCCCCCCCAACATATTTTTGATTATTTGGGAGTTTCACACAATGTACCCTGATCACATTCACTTCCCTATCTTCCCAGGTCCACCCCACCTCCCTTTTGACCTCCCCCAAAGAAAAGAAAGGGAAAAAAATACCAAGTCCAGTTTGTGTTGCCCTTATGCTACTCACTGGAGCATGGTCAAACTCCAGTGGGTAGCCCCTTAAAGAAAACTGAGTCCTTCCCTATCTCACCTCTGCCAGAAGCCATGACTATCAGGAACTACACTTCAGAATCCCTATCACAATTTTTAAAGCGTTCTCTTCAGGGGCTTCTTGTCTAGATTGGTTCTTTCTGGGGGTGGGGGAAAGAGGTCACAGAAGCCTTCTGTGTCTCTCATTCTGAACTGTGAGTCTGCAGTCATCGATTCCACTGCAAAAGCAGCTTCGGTGCCCTTCAGTCAGTGGCAGCACAGATCACAGACATCTATAAGGACTTCAGTCCTTATAGACACAGACATAGACCACAGTCTTGTCCTTATAGACACAGACATAGACCACAGACACCATCATGGTCCTCGGCAGCAGTACAGGCTTGGTCAACATGACCTTGGGCAGCACAGACCATGGTTTTCTTTTCTTTACTGTGATGGGGAATTGAATATAGGGCCTTGCACATACGAGGCAAGCACCTTATCACTGAGCTATATCTTCACCCTCAATGCAGGTGGTTTATACCCTTTAAAAGTGTTACAGAATAAAAATTGACACAAAATTGGTGTATATAATATATTCAGTGAGAAAATATGGGAAAGTAGTTAACAGTGTTAAGGAAACATGATGAGAGCAGGTCACTATCATTTCTACTAATGCACACTTCTGTGCATGCCTCTTCCATAAAGGCTGTAGATGTTAAAGGGTTATTGTATATACTTATTGGATAGTTTTTCTTGTATTAGTTATAAGCTTTCTTTAATTTTAGACAAAAAGAGAGGAAATGTGGTGGTATTGTGTTCCCCAAAATATTGTGTACCTTAATAAACTCTTCAGCTACATAAACCTCTTGCTCCCCTTAGTGTTTTCTCTTAGGCTTCCTTTTGCTTCTGTCCACCCTCAGCATGGCAGACTGGGCAGTGTTTATGAGGTAGTTTGAGATGAACTGGGTCTTCCTCTAGTAATGAGAGTTCACCCTGTCCCTCTTATACAATCCTCCTCATTTGGAAGTTGAAGGGTCCTATGTAATTTAAAATCTGACTCATTTTCCTTGCCCAGTTATCTTGATGTGATTGTAATTTGTTCCTTTGCCTACAATGTAAAAATTCAGGCAGGTCACTTATAGTAACAAGAAGAAAAAAAAGATAATTTATTTTTCTACCATCCACAATTTGATCGTAAGAACTTATGACCAAGCTAATAATTTTACATAATTTGCATATGTAAAATTTACACTGAAACACCTGAAGAAACACAGAGCACTTTATGGACATAACTTTTATTAACATGATATCCCTGAGAGGCAGACTTGGTGTAAACATTATTCTGCTTTACAGGAAGAGAAACAGAAGCAGTTTAACATACAAGACATTTGGAACCATCTGTTTGCTAATACCCTTAGGCCTTTTCCACAGTACAAAAATAGATTAATACTATCGATAATAATCCCCATTTTCCTTGACATTGCAACTCACTTCCAAAGCCGTCTCAGATCCCTGCTTTAGACAGGGTTTTCTTGTACTTTCCTGCTTGCTTAGGTAGCATAATTGAAATACTATTTTCCCATAATTGTTAATGTTAGTTCTTTGGTTAGAATTCCTTAATACCAGAACCCTAATTAATTGCTCATCCTAATAAATTTTAGAACAGTCTTATATCCTTACAACTACCTCAGATCTTAATCTAGCTGTGGGTATCTAATAAAAGTGAAATGTGAAAGTTAACTATTCCAGGTCTTGGCCATCTGACCGTGGTCATCTTTTCTGACCTCCTTAGAGTATCTTCACTAGATGGTAATTTCTGATGTTGATCTCTCAAAGGAGCTGGTCTCCTACAATTCATCTTTCCCTGAGCCAGCTGCTTCCCTGTCATCAGGAAGCACACAGCACACGGTACACCTCAGGGTCTGCCTCTAGCACTCCCCGTCTGCTGAGCGGATTCTCTGCCTCTGTATAGCTGTGTCAAACATTCGTGAACTTTTCCTGCGTCAAGCTTTAGTGACCTTAAAAAGGTCTTTTGTCTTTGCTTTGATGTTTTCCTACTTTTCACACACCTAGCACCAATTTTACAACTAGTTTTGGAAAGTCTGTCTCACCATAATTTATCTAGTTACTTTTCTTCCTTTGAATGCTTACTGTTTCCTGAAAAAAATATTTTCCAGATTTCTCTCAGAGCAAGCTATGTTACAACTTATTTCTGGTGTAGTAACACTACTTAGCTTCCTAAATTTCTTTAAAACAGTTGCAACCTGTTGTGGTGATACATAACTTTAATCCTAGCACTTTGAAGACTGAGGCAGTCAGATCTCTGTGAGTTCAAGGCCAGTATACTATCCATATTGAGTTCCAGGTCAGCCAATGCTACATCATGAGACCCTGTTTTAAAAAATACTAAATGTTGCAACTATATATTTGTGCTTTCTGTCCATGTATTACCTGTTTTCCAGGACAAGGGTAGGGACTGTTTTATTTGTATTATACAGGGCTTATCATAAGTCTATGAATATATGGGAAATAATTCAATACCACCCAATTTGGAAAACCCATAATGACTTGAATGTTTAAATAGATACTTTTATTTGTGTAGTTGAGTGAGTGTATGTGTGTGTGCAGATTGGTAGCTCCGCCATCTTCCCTGTCATTTAGGGTAAAGTGTATTTTACCTATACATGGGAATATGGCAGTGCTTCTGCTCCTTGCAATCAGTATTGAGCACCCACAGGCTGCTGCTCTCTCTCTCTCTCTCTCTCTCTCTCTCTCTCTCTCTCTCTATATATATATATATAAAATAAGCGTGTGGAGTGTTAGAAAATAGACGACTCCTATTGGTAGCTTTAACTGCTTTTTCTGCCACCACATCCATCTAGTTTGCTCTTTTGGCTTCTAGTCCACAAGGGACAGAAGGGGAGGAGAGAAGAGAAAAATCAAATGAGATGCTATAAATGCAGTATATTCTATTACAGCCCTTGCAGACTCTACAAGAAACTAGGAAATCCAGTGTTCATAGAAGGCTATATTGTTTCCCTGACTCACTCTCTGTCTCTGTGTGTTACTGAGGATTGAATCCAGGACCTTGTGCATACTCGGCAAGTGCTCTACCACTGAGCTGTATCCCCAGCCCAGATTCTTGGAAACAGATAGAACCAAGTTGGACTTTAAACTCTCTTTAAAAGATAAATGAAGAGTATGCACAGGTTTAAGTGAGCAAGACGGCCCAATCAATGAGTCGTCTCACAACTTCTTTGAAAAACGGCTGAGGTGGGTTTTTCAGCTGAAGTGCACTGAATGACAGGAGGAGGGAGGACATACGAAGATCCACAGGATATACTACATATCCTCTCGAAGGGAACAGCACAGGCATGAGGGAGGAAGACGTTTATACCATCAGTTCAGACCAAATCTACTTTTCATCTTCAAACCACTGACATTGGGCTCGGCTAGATTTGGGAAGCATAAGGAACAAACGATGGCAGAAGTCCTGAGCGGTGCTTCCTCAGGCCCAGACGGAGAGGACGTGCCTTGGGAGCTTACGTAGGCCTGGGCTGTGACAGCAGCTTTCCTCGGGTATGGCTCTCTCGGTGTTTGTTAAGGGCAGCGCTCTTACTGAAGCACTTGCCACAATTGCGGCACTCATAGGGTCTCTCTCCTGTGTGGGTTCTGTGATGTGCGCGTAAGTCAGAACTCTTACTGAAGCTCTTACCACAGTCAGGACACACATGGGGTCTCTCTCCTGTGTGTGTCCTCCTGTGAGCGTTGAAGTGAGAACTGTTACTGAAGCTTTTCCCACACTTTTCACACTGGTAAGGCTTCTCTCCTGTGTGGGTTCTCTGGTGGATTATAAGGCTTGAGCTCTGATTGAAGCGTTTTCCACATTCACCACACTGATAAGGTTTTTCTCCTGTGTGGATTCTCCGATGGGTAATGAAATTGGAACTGTCACGGAAACCTTTGCCACAGTCCAGACACTGATAGGGTTTTTCTCCAGTGTGGATTCTTCGGTGTCTGACGAGGCGTGCGCTCCGGCTGAAGCTTTTCCCACAGTCAGTACATTTATACGGATTCTCTACATGATGGGATACCTGATACAGGAGATGGGAGTTTGGGCCAAAGCCTTTGCCATATCT